GTGCTTAGCCTGGATCTTTTCTCCTATGTCAGGAAGTTGCACCTCTTGAAGCAGAGGGGTCATTTTCCTGAGATTTCCAGAAAACATTTCACTCTGATCCATGACCTCCATTTCAAGCTCCATATAACCATGTATTTATTTTGTTTCTCTTTCATACGTATTTGTCTAAGAGAGGGAGATGTATTTTGCACAGAGTAAATGAACACATGCTCCTTTCTGCATCCATCAACACAAGGAAGTAACACAGCACATCCTAGGCTTTGAGAGCAGACATGAGGGGCCACGTCAGAATGTCTGGTATTGAGGGTAGGTGAGCAGAGGGCTGACCTCTGGGGAAATGTGACTACCTAGTTGCAGAATTATGCAAGTATGTTTGATGCACAAAAGCTGGATTTGGGCTATCAAGTGCAAGCCTGAATGTTTAGCTCTCCACTGGGTTCTTCTTCAAGGAGGTGAGTGAAGTGTTCCATGTTGCTATGGTAGTATCAGGTAGTATCAGGTAGTATCAGGGTAGGGTAAAGTGGAGGAACATTTGATTGGTGGCTGGATGTTGGGGTGAAGAGAGGAAAGTTCCAAGCAAGAAGTTGCACCCTTTGCCTGTGGTGATGCAGGAGCATCCACAGGTGAGAGCATCCACAGAGACACTGCTGCAGGCAGTGGCTGACAGCCAGGAGGGCTGGGGATGGTATTTGTGAAGATGAGAGTGTTGAGTTTAGGCTGCACTGGGGACTTGGACAACTTGAGCTACCTGTGCTGAGGGCCCAGCTATGGCGTCTTTTGGAGCAGCGCTGGTGGTGTCTGGGCAGCACCATGGGAATATCTTACCCAGGCCAGCCAAAGAACAGAGATACAGAATCAGAGAAATCCTGTGCCTGCAAGTACTGAACTACACTGTCCCACCTGACTGGCAATTGGGAAGAGCCAATTAGCATATTTTAATGCAACTGATTAGTGCATGGTCACACAGCCTGGGTGGTGGGTGACTTTTGAAGCAGATTTGAAATTATAAACATGCAGACAACAAACCATGAGGGAGCTGGCATGGGGGAGAGACGATTTCCCAGTGTAGTAGCCGTGGCCCCAGTTTCTCAGCTATTCCCAATGGCAAGCTGCCTTCAGAGAGCCCTGAGAAGGTCTGGGGTGAGCACTTGAAAATGAAGAAATTAATTTTTTTAATTAACGGAACTGAGGTGTCTGGTGTGATGGTGGCTCAGCCTCTGCTGCAGCTCTTCTAGCTTTTGCACGGCCTAAGTCCCATGGTCTCCTGCGGGAAGGGAGAAGCGCCTTGCTTGGGGCCGGGGGTCTCCTCCAGGCAGCCCCCAGTGGAGGGCACGGAGCCCTCCCGGGCGCAGGGGCTGCGGCTGAGCGGCAGCCGCCTCTACCCGATGTCGGGGGGTGTGTGGGGAGGTGCTGCCTCTCATTCGGGCTCTGGGAGCGGGCTGTGGGGCAGCCCGGCGTTCCCTGCCTCAGCCCGGGGTGGTACCGCAGCTCCCCCGCCTTCCGATGTGCGCACCGCGAGGAGCTGCTGCCGACAGGAGCTCCGTTTCCTTAGTTACGGCAGGCAGGAGATATTCCGGGAAGGAGGCAGGCAGCGCTAGGAAAGGTCGGCAGGTCTGGGGAGAGCCAGCCCTGCGAGGGGCCCGGGTTTCACCACCCCCGTCCAGCGAATCTGAACTGCCCGGACTCCGTGTCCCGGGTGTCCGCCCGCAGCCCCGAAGCCCAGATCGAAGGAATGCCGGGGCTGGAGTGGGCACAGCAGGGCTGCAGTGCCGTGCCAGGAGGAATCCAACCAGCTCTGACCTCCGCAGGTGTGAGCTTCCATCTCTTCCCAGGGGGCAATCCCCCGCTTGTCCAGGGATGAGAAGAAATTCATTCCTTCTTTTGCAGCAGGAAAATAATGTGACGATTCTATCAGCCTTCCAAGGAAATAAGTAATTCTGCCCCAGAAGCAGTTTGCAGACAACAAAGTCCAGGACCACATGCAGGGCTGTGCTATGCCGTTTTGCTCTTTTGCCCATTTTAAGCTTCCCAGGTTCTGTATCCAGGCCTGCCCATGCTGCAGAGCCCCATGGAGACCTGCACTGGCTTCCACCCCTGCACAGAGAGGTCAGGGCTCTCTCCGAAGTTTGCCTGCAGGAAACCATTTGCCACGGGCTCGTGTGCTGTGCTCACCACACTCCAGCTGGCCCACTGATCCTGGTGGGGAGCAGCCAGCATGGGGATATCCTGGCAGTGCCATGTGCCAGGCCAAGCTGGGCTGTCAGCCAGAGATACAAACACGGTCTAGCTGGTTCCAGGTGCAGGGATCAAGGACTTAAAGGGTGTTTTCATTTCCTGACCCTTCAAGTTTGCTGTTGGTCTGAAGAAACTGTAGTTTTCCAGTTTCACAATCATCAGCTCCATGGGGGTATTCAAAGGCACATCTCCAGCTAAAGGCCACACCTTTGGCTCTGAAGCTCAGAGACTGGTGCTGCCCAAGGGTAAACCAACAGCCTTTTTAAAAAACAGACGCAATACCCACAGATGCCATTCTCAGGAACAGTTACACCATCTTGCTCAAATGTGTCTAGACAAATTCAGCCTGAATCCCTCAGTCTGCCTGGAGAAATTTAGTGTAAATATTAAAGCCATAAATGATGGAAAAGAGGAATTACAATTGGGAGATTCATACAGATAGCAGGATGCAGTTCTACAGTCACAGCTGCCAAGCAGCTCCCTGTGTCTCATCTTCCTGCTGCCTCTGGATGCAACTCCATGTCTCTCCTGCACTGCTGCAGGGTTATAAGCGACGCAGGAAGGAGGTATTGTGCTCCTTTACACACAGAGCTGGAGCTGAGCCACAGACTGTTCATGCTTCTCAGGCATGTGGAGGACCTAAAAACCATGGGATGCCTGAGCCCTTGTGAGACCGCATCTGTAAGGCTCTTCTTGGGCCAAAAGCACGGTCACTGAGGCCCAGTACATAGCAGAAAATGAAGGTGTTTTCCTCCCTTTTGGAGCTGCTCTGTATTTCCTTTTTTATTATTCTTATTCTGTTCTATTCTATTCTATTCTATTCTATTCTATTCTATTCTATTCTATTCTATTCTATTCTATTCTATTCTACTCCATTCTGTTCCATTCCATTCTGTTCCATTCCCTTCTGTTCTGTTCCATTCCGTTCTGTTCCATTCCGTTCCATTCCATTCCATTCCAGCTAGGCACTGTCTGGGCCAAAGGCAGGAAGAAACAAGTATCTCCAGGAAATTACTTACACACAAGCTAGGTTTGTCCAGCTTCGTGTGATCCCTGATGTCTTGGCAGGCCAAAGGAAGGGGAGAGGGTGTTCCTTTGGGACTGGGGCAGCTCAGCAGCAGCAAGATTGCCAGATCTGCTCAGAAGTCAACATTTCCCAGCAGTGTTTTCGAATTTAAGTGATCAAACATGTTGGCTGCCAGTTCAGGAAATCAGAGAAGCCATGGCTTATGAAAAGCAGTCTTTACTTGCTCAGAAGCAGGGGATCAAATATTGGGGACCCAGTGGCAGATCACAGTCATGAGGCATTTTAGAAAATCCCCATGGATTTTTTTCTCCCACAAGCTCCCATTGCTAAGCTGGCATGGTTGTCTGTGCTGTCTCCTGAGGTAGAGAGTGTCCCCTGATGCATGGCAGCAGTCAAGGTCTCCAAGCCTCAGTGGTGCTGTAGGACTGGCATTGGCTTGGCTTGGTCTGGAGGGAGAGGGCAAGCTGTATGGCTTCTGCTCATCATACATATGACTAAAGAAGACAGCAGTGAAAGAGATTTGGAAATATTTTTTTTTATCCAGCTGTTCCCTAAAGTTTTAGGCATGTGTTGTTTGGGCTATGGTAACTCCTGGTTGGAGATAAAGATCTCATTTATATGAGACTCATTTACATGAAACAAGTTTTATCAAAAGACATCATGTTGTAGCCAACCTGTTCTCTGCACCATGCTCCAGCAGACCAGAAGTCAGCTGAGAGCTACCTCAGCCCTGGGGAACCTAAAAAAAGAAAGACACTATAGGGGACAGTGGGCTTTCACCCCTTGCTTCCTCATGATGTGTGTGCTGTGCCAGCCATTTCCACTAGCAGTATGAATGAAGATTCTTTGCTAGCAGCTGTTATATTATGTTCATTCCCTGATGCTTCTGGTGATTTTCATAGCTGTGCTTGTGAGGTCCTTCACTTAAATGGGTGGAGTTTAACCACTGGATTGTGCTTCTTCAGCCCAAAATAGATGAAATGAACCAAAACAAGCCTTCAGAGGATGCTGCAGAACAGCACTATTTACTCAGCATCTGGAGAAGTCATAGATGCGGGACCCCAGGTCCCCCATACAAGGTGGGAACAATGAAGCACTTGGCATATCGGTGAGACTTCAGTCACATTCTAGTGACTGTTCCCTGGTAGCCCACCTGCAGATGTGTCTATGACCATCACTTGGGAACAGTGCTGGCTGTGCAAGACATCCGGTATTGCAGCCCTGAGGGTGCTGCCAGGGGTTTCTCCAGCACAGAGTGCACTGCCTGCATTCTCACGGATTGGAGAAACGGGGAGCAGGCTGGGATGCTTATGGAAAACAAGGCTTTCAGTGCCCCTTTGCACTTGGTGGGTCAGGCTCCTCTGTGTCCTGCTGGTCATTCCTGATGAAGGCAGAGACCTTCTGCAGGAACAAGATTCTTAGGCAGTTTCCTAGCTACCACCCCTGCTGCCACCCCTGCCAAACATCTGAGCAGCACTTCATCAAGGGGAGAGGTTTTGCAAACGGTGTTGAGGTCTCAGATGTACGCAGCCACCTGCCCCTAGCACGGTGGGGACTGACCCCCGTGTGCCCCCCCGCCGTGGCTGATGGCCCCGGAGGCCGGTTCCGCTCGCCGCCGGGGCACACGCCGGGCAGCCAGCCCGAGGAGCCCGAGCGCCGCCGAAGCTGCTCGGAGCGGCGGATGCGGCGGGCACAGCCTCACGCCCAGAAATAGCCTGAGACGCGCAGAGCCCGCACCCAGGCGTTCTGCCGGCAGCTCCCCGCCCGCTCTCCGCTCCGAGCGCCGCCGCCTCGCCCCCTCCTCCCCTCACGGATGCCACGGCCCGCACGGTAGGCAGAGCGCCGGGGGCTGCCCGACCCCGCCGCGGGCCGGGAGGCGGCTGCGGCTCCCCAGGCGGGGCGCGGAGCTCCGGCAGCGCAGGCCCCGGCCCAGCGCCGGTGAGGCGGGGGGAGCAGCCCCAGCACCGCGGCCTCGCCGCCGCAGCGGGGCGGGCGGGAGGCGGGGCGGCGGCGGCCCCGGGCCCTTCCCCTGCCGGAGCCGGGCCCGGGCCGCTGCCGGGCAGCCCGAGGCGAGCGCGGGGAGGGGAGGAGGGAGGCGGAGGGCGCAGGGCCCGGAGCGAGCGGGGCCGGGGCCCCCAGCAGGTCAGTGCGGGGCGGGAGGCGGCGGCAGGACGGGAGCCGGGCTGCGGGGCTCGACGGGAGCGGCAGCGGGCTGGGGGCCCGGCGGGCAGCGGGGCTCCAGCCAGCGGGACTGAGGTGCCCGGGGGTGAAGGGCGGACCCGGGGGCACGACCTGGTGCTTGGGGTGGGGAGGAAGCGTGCGTGGGACTGAGCCCGGCCCGCCCACGCTGAGCTGCGCCTGCCGGGTGCGACTGCGGCGGGGGATGCTCGCTGGGCGGGTAAGGCAGCATCTCCTCGGGCAGCCCTGGGACAGCTCGCCCTTCTGCGGGGCCGGGAGGCACGGACGGGTTTGGGTCGGTGTTGTGGGAGATTTCTGGGTACTTGGCTCTGTTTAGACACTGTTTGCCCGCCTTCATCTTGGACCGTGTACCAAAGTGTTTATAACTAATGCTTGCGCCTGCCCGCCTGATGGGTGGCTGCGGCCCAGCAAGGCACAGGGGCTTCCCTGCACTGCTGGAGCAAGTTGATGGCAGAAGGAGGGAGTGAGCCCCAGCCCCTCAGTGTCCTCTCACAGTGCACATGCACTGGCCTACACCACTGGCCCGTGATGTGACATAAAATGTCACCCCATCGCTGTGTCATGTCATGGCTTGTGCTCAGTCCCCACGTCATCCTGGCCACAGGATCCTTCTTCTGGGAGCTACACCTGAGGGTGTTAGATATGCTTTGTGCTGGGAGGGAAGAGGAGGGGGAACCTCTCCCCATTTTTCCCTCCAGTTTTGTTATACTGATGATTTTGGGAGGGCTGGTAGGTCAGGGCAATCTAATGCTCTGGCCAAGATTCTCTCCCCCCCTTTACGACTTCATCCAGATTTGTCCATGGATGAAGGCCCTGCCTTCTCCCTTGCTTGCTTCCCCATCCTCACTAGCAGCAGCAGTGCTGCACAGTGAGTTTGCTATTCAGAAACCTTCTGAACAGAGTGTTTTCCAGGAGAATGAAAGAAAGACCTTTGTCTGGCTGACAGATATTATTTCTGCATGAACATCTTTTTCCTTTTAACTGTTTAGCCACCATCTCCAGGACTGATGTACATGCCAGCCCCTTTCAGAGAGTTCACAGGGGAGCAGCGTATGAAGGGAAAACTGGGTGGGGAAACAAGGTATGAGAAAGCACTTTGCCCATGTGGAGATTTACAATTCTGTAGGACTGGTCAGGCTGCTGATCAGTCTTCTGTCTGAGCAGAAGAGAGACAACAAAATATGCCATTTGGGAGAAAAGGTGCTTTTGTAGTGGTTTGCAGTATTTATTCAGAGGGGAGGTGGGAGAAAGTGGGGAAAAATAGGAAAGTGACTCTTATACCAGACCAGAGCCTTGGCTTCACTGCCTTCCTTGCTTCCCTGCAAAGTGTGGTCAAAGACTGGGCAACAGATGGAGAGAGAGGCAGAAGCAGCTCTTTCAGGAAGTGTTTGTTGAAAGTATCCTGGCGAAGAGCCGCTGGCAAACAAATAAGTAATAAATAAAAGCAGGGAGGCCACCAGCACCCCTGCAGCCTCTGACTCCATAGCACATATGGGCTTTTCTGGCTTCCCTGTGAGCTTAAACCTCTGCCTTCTTTGCATGGCTCCATGCTGGCTCCTGACACTCCATTCCAGTGCCTTTCAGCTCTATTTTTATTATTATTTTTTTACATGATAACATTTGAATTGCTCTGTAATGACTCTCCAAAGCTTTCCCTGAGGTTAACTATTTCATCTCTGGTTTGGTGGCTGCTGCCGATGGTAAGCCTGGGTGGTCCTATGCAGGGAAGAAATAGTGGTGCTTGCTGGGGATGCAGATCACGGGTGTGTGTAGACCCTTGCCAGTAAATACTGTCCTCCTTGCATGCAGAGACTTCTGGCCCATGGGGACATAAGGTAGATTTCAGCACAGCTTAAGAGCCTGCATCTGCAGAACTGTAAAAGGATGTCTCTGCTTTAAAATAGTCCTTGCAGGAAATACTCTCATCTTAAGAGACTTCGAGAGCTTTCTCACAAAGAGGGAGAAATGTTTGTAACACCCACAAGTGAATTCAATTGATATTAAACTAATCAATCACCTAAACTCCTTGGCAAACATCAGTGTGCTGTGCAAATGCTGACTCCTCCACAAGTCTTACAAACACCAAAGCCTTCTACTGTTGTCACTCCTGTGTTTCTTACTTTAGCTGCTGTAAATATATTTTGTGTACTTAGCCCCAAGTTTGAAGAAAACACTGAATTGTTGATGCGCTGTGCCCAGAGCAAAAGCAGGTTTGCTTTGAGATTATTTCAGGAGAAGCAGCTCTAGTCCTCATTTCCTTCAGCCATGACTTGAGCACATTCAGTCCCTAACCAGCTGTTACAAGAGAACTTAGAGCTTTAAAAGATCCTGCTTGGCATGTACCTGCACTTTAAGGTGCCTAAATATCCCTTCACGGCTGTTTGAAGTTACTGCTTCAAATGTGTCTGAGACTGGTAATTAGACTGTGATCACACCTTGTTATTAGGTGGGGACAATGTCAGCAGTTTGCTCGCAATATTCCTGCAACAATGGGACAGACAGAGCGGTGCACAGCCCTTCCCATCACCCGGGGCACTATTGTTGCTGGTTAATGGGTGAGAAAGGGCACGGCAAGTCCCCTGGGTCTCTCTGCTTGGAGGGGGGCACAGACTTACCTCTCCCAGCCTGCTGCCCTGGTCCCTGTGTCACCCTTACCTAACACAATGTTGTCCAGCCTCCGAGGAGCATGAACACCACTGTATAGAAACATTTCAATACTGGAATCAGTGATGAATCCCCATGAGAAGCTGGGGTTACCATTTTGACCAAGGAGGGGCTCCTTGCAGTCATAGTTTGATCTTAAATAAAGATGTGTTTAAAATGGAGTACTGGAGCAGAGAGATTCAGTGCTCCTGTTCAGTGGGAGCATGTGAAAACTTCAGGTGACCTGATTCCCCACTCCCCAGCACCACAGCCTTGTGTCTTGTAATCTGCAGATTTGTGGCTGAACAGAGACGAGGACAGGATCTGAACAAAGACAAGCTCCACTGCACCCCCAAGTGTTAAAAGGTAGCTTGTGAGAGGTGGAAGAATATGTCATCATGTAATTTTGAGTTCCCCTACCAGAGATAGGAAAGTGCTGTGGCCCTGCTGCATTGGAGAACACTTTGTAATTAGCTGGGAGTTGGTGGCAGGAGGTGAGGGATATTGAGACAATGAGCCCCTTAATGTGCTGTGTTGGATGGGCAAGGGGAGACCAAAATTCAGAGAAGCTGGGTGTGCGGGACTTAGGGGAAATAAGTTTTGGAAATGTAGCTGGGGAGTGGCTCCCAGCTGCTGCCAAAGTGAGCCTGTGGTATCCTGAGGCAAGGTCTGGGGCCTCTGTACTGGCCAAGCCAAGGCGACCCTGTTAGAGGAATCCTCTTGCTGTGCTACCCATGCAGCAGGGTGGGCCACACTAAGGTGGCACAGCACGGAAGTGGCACAGGCTGAGGTGCTGAGATGGTGTGAGGGCTGGCAAGCTGGGGGGTGACTCTTGAGGCATGGAAGTGGCTGGCCACGGACCACAGGCACCTGTGCAGCTAGGATCCCAGCCAGCATTGGGACAGCTTCTAGTAATGTGGGGCTTGGGACACACCTGGCTGGAGAATCTGGTTCCAACAGCAGATTGGGATGGTCTTCTTGGCACGGCTGTGGTTTGGAGTAGAATGTTCATACTTTGAGATGTTCAAAACCTGCCTGGACACAGCCCTGAGGAACCTATTCTAGCTGACATTACTTTGAGAAGGAAGGTGGGACTACGGGACTTCCCTTCAGCCTCAGTGCTTCTGAGGTTATTTTTCCTATCTTCTGACAAATTCAGTCACCATGGGGTAATCCCCAAGGCAGCATTAGAGAAATGATCAGAAGCTGAAGTTTGCCTTGCTTCCCTTTGTCTGCAAGAAGCATTCTGGAGGTCTCTACAAGACCAGGAGACTGCCAGGACTTGGGACATGCAATATTCATTGTGTTTCTGGGCTGCTTTTCTCAGGGAGGGCAGAACTGTGGAAGTATAATGGCAAAGAGGACAGAAAAAGGAACCAAACCTTACAGACTTCAGAGTAAACTTGGTCTGTGCCTTGTTTGGCTCTTGACCTGCTGCTGAATAGGATGGATGAATTAAAGTCAGGACTTAAGTTAATGATGAGAAAGCCACGACCTAAGCACCTGTTTTCAATCTCACTGTGTTTGTACACTTCTGCTCTTTTCCTAAGGACAAGTTGTTTCTCAGTGGTGAGCATGATGTGATGCTTAGGGCTGAGAAGGAGGCTGCACTGTGCTTAAGTGAGTGGGTTTATAGCTAACATATGGTTTTTGAGATACTTAATATCTGTATTTCTTGCATTACAGAATGTTGAGTGATCTAGATAATCACTTAATTATTTATTATAAATTTAGTCCATCTGTATTTCAATGGAAAGTGAAGTCCAATTGATAATGCAGAACGTGAGCATTTAAAAGGTTGTTTCTAGTTGTTTAAATAAAACTGCTTAAAATGTATGAATCCAGAAAAGAGAATAGTTTTATGAAGATATTATTTATATATGTAATGAATTTAACAATACTATGCTGCTATCCTATATTGTATTATTATAATACTATATTATAGGAACAAAATTTTGTTATAGGAGATACAAAATATAGCCGGTGAT